AGATCAAGGAGATCCTGACCGCGTATGACCGCTCGCTGCTTGTTGCCGACCCGCGCCGGTGCCGACGCAAGAGATGCCAGCTTTCGTTCCGCGCCCCTTTTGTCGCCACCCCGCTCGCGCGCTTGCCCTCCGGCCGCCCCACGCCCTCTTCCCCGCACGCCCGCTCACTGTGCCCTCGCCGTGCGTCTGTAGGTGCGAGGCAAAGAAGTTTGGTGGGCCGGGCGCGCGCGCGCGCCGCCAAAAGTCGTACCGTTAAGCTGTGCGGCGCGCGGCACGGGAGCCTGGATGCACGCCCACCGCCCATGGGGGGGAGCGGTGCCTGTGCGCGTTGCTGCCATTCTCATCGTGTTTCATTCTATGTTCTGCATCCCGGTTTCCGCCACCAGTCGCACGGCACACCGCAGCATAAACCCAGCAAAAAGACACACCCGCCCGGGCGCGCCGGCGGGGGCGTCCCGGCTCCCGCCGCGCGCCCGAAGCCGTCGGGGGGCGTGAGGCGTGTCCGTACGGTGTAAATCGTAAATGATAGTAAATGCAACATGCGTGCCGTACCGTATGAACACGAACATCTCAACTACCGTATACGTTCATCCTCAAACCGCGTTGGCACGACAACGCAGGAGACCAAGAACGAAACGCGGGCATGCTAGAACGTGCCCGTTGCACGGGATCAGCCCCTCGTCGACGAGGGGCTTGTGGCAGCGCCGAGGAGGGCGTCCCGGTCGGGCGCGCCGCACGCAAACGAGCCGAGAACCTTGACGAATGCGGCGAGGGGCTGCAGCTCGGCAAGCGCGTGCGCAACGGCGGTGTCGCGCGCGTGGCCTGCCAGCTCGATGAAGAAGGCGACCTGCGCGCCGCTCCCTGGCGGCGCCGCGGACGACTGGATGTAGGAGACGTTGACGCCGTGCGTTGTGAAGGAAGTGAGGGCGGCGGCGAGGTTGCCGGGCGCGTCTAGCAGCCTACAGTGAAGACTCCAACCTCAGGGCGGGAAGACGGATTGTGCCGCGTCTTCAGAGCACCGCGTGAACACACGGGCTACGAGTACAGCGGGAGACGGCTGGACACAGCCGGGCTCGTGTCCTCTCGAGCGCTCGTTGGAGGACCAGACTCCGTGTCTCTACCTTCTACGTCCTCGCAACCCGAGTAAGAGCATCGTCTTGTCGCGGCCCGTGGGTGGCGGCAGCGCATTCCGCTTGCACACGACCACGCAACGCGTGCGCCCCGCCGCACGGTCTGCGGCTGCGTCGCTCAGCTCGGCGACGATCTGCGGGAAGGGGGCGGGGTGGCGCGTGTTGGACGGGTGGACGGAGGGGCAAGTGCGTCGGAGCATCCAGAGACCCATGGCCTGCAGCGGGTACTGCGCAAACAGCTGCTTTGCGGCGGGAAGCACGCCAAGGTCCGCCTTGTAGCAGTGGCGTCGGTGGTGACAGGCTGGTTCTCCGGAAATCGGGGGTGGGTTAATTCCCCCCCCCCCCCCCCCCCCACCGGCCACCCTCCTCCTTTTTTTCGGCCACCTTCCCCACCACAGCCGTTTCCACCTCCACCTTTTCCTGCAACCCCCCCCCCCCCCCTCTCCCCACACCCCCCCCTCCTCCACCTGCTCGAGCAACACAATGCCGAGGAAGGCGCGGTTCGAGAGCACCGCCTCATACACGCCCAACGCTGACTCACACTCGATCAGCTTGCTGCCTACAGCGGCCGCGGGCGAAGATCAGACAGCGCTTCGCTGCGAACAGTGGCGCAGACAGTGCACACACCTGAAAACAAATCGGAGGCCACTCCCCGACGCCACTCCTAGCGTTCCCCGCCGGCACCGCCGCAGGCGCCAGACGAGGCCGTCGCAGGCGGCGGTTCGAAATGGCGGACGGCGAGCCTTTGTCATGAATACACCGAAGTCAGGGCGGGAAGGCGGTCTCGCGTAGAGTCTTCCGAGCACCGCGTGAACACACGCGGGCTACGAGCACAGCGGGGCTGCCGCGGAGGGCGGCGGAAGACCGCAGAGTCCGCGTCCGCTCGAGCGCGGAGTCGGGAGACAAGAATACGTGTTCCGCTTCTAGGGTCAGTCCCATGAGAACCCCACTACAAAGCGCCACCCTCGTGAGCTGTCCTGTGAGCTGTGTGCTGTGTGTCCAGCAGTCCGGGCCCGGTGCTACGGTGACAGCGTGCCTCGTGTCGGCTCCCGAGCCAATCGTGTGCAGCGTGTGTGTGCGTGTGGGCCCGTCCTCCATGCTGGGAGGTGTGTCAGACTGACTGGCTGACTTCTAGGGGCGGCGCGCGAGTCCTTCACTCAGAGCTCTACGCCGCGAGGCGGCAACTCGCGCGCCGCAGCCTCCCTCATGCGCAAGGTGCCCTCCCTCGCGGCTAATCTCGGCTAATCTCGGCTAGTCTCGGCTAATCTCGGCTAATCTCGGCTAATCTCGGCTAATCTCGCGCCGATGGCACGGCCCGTCGTCGACCGGTCCGTGGAAGGCGACCCTCGTGTTGCCAAGCCGCTGGAGGAGGTAGGCGACCTCTGCTTCCTGGGAGAGGCGACGGCCAGCTACGGGTGAGGCGGCGGCTGCGCCAACGGGTGGGGGTGGTGTGTGTGTGGGGGGGGGGGGCGGCGGCGGCGTGTCTCGCGTTCGTCGCGGCCGATCTGCTGATCGCCGCAATGCTATTGCACCGCCGGCACCGCTCTGCGAGTGACACGGGGGCCCCTGGCGGGGGTGGGGGTGAGGGTGGGGTTGGGGGTGGGGGGGGCTTCTCTCGCCTTGGTCAGCGGGATGATGAAGTCGTGGTAGAGGCGCACGATCGCCTCCGGGTCCTACAGCGTGAGAGACGCCAACCTCAGGGCGGGAGCAGCGGTGTTGTGCAGAGTCTTCACGGCTCCGCGTGAATCCGCGGGGCGACGAGTACAGCAAAGGCCGCCAACCACGGCCGAATGTCGCCGAGTGCGTGTCCTCTCGAGCGCGGGTTGGAGCACAAGAGACACGGGTTCCGCTTCTAAGCTCTGGGGCCAGCTTGAGTGGTGCAGCGGCGGGCACCTCCGCCGCACCGCACCGTGACTCCGCCTGCGCACGCGCACACTCCCTCAGTCAGTGGCCGCCCACATCTTAGACGAGCGGAGGACGACTCGCGAGGGTGGCGACGGGCTTGGCGGCGGCGGCGACCGAGGGGGCGGGCGGGCTGGGCGGCGGCGGCGGGCATCATTCGTGTGGCGGTGAGAGTTGCGTGGCCGTGTGTGCACGCGTGGTCTGTCTGCCCTACCGCGAGAGCGGCCTCGATGGCGAGGAGTAGTCTCGTGCTATCTCGGGTAATCTCGGGTGGTCTCGGGTGGTCTCGGGTAATCTCGGGTAATCTCGGGGGACGGGCCTCGCTGAGGCCGAGGACGGACTCGTCGGCCTCGATGTCCTGGCCGAAAGTGAAGGCCTTGCGCCGCACACGCCGCAGCACGCGCTCTTCGACCGCGGTGTTGGTGAGCAGCCGCATGATCCCCTCCTCGTCGTTGCCCCGGATCAGTGCCGTGTACTCTTCCGGCTTTGCCCGAAACCTGCCGGGCGCAGATTGGGGTTGGGGTTGGGGTTAGAGTTGGGGTCGGGGTTGGGGTTGGGGCTGTGCAGACTGGCCGATGGCACACGGCAGGGGCAGACGGCGTGCGGCTGACTGCGCACTTGGACTCGGCGACAAAGAGCCCATAGTGCACCCGCTTCGAGATGGCCTGTAGCACTGCAACGTCGGCAACCACCGAGGAGCCGTGCTGCGTGTCGTCGCCAGGCTGCGTCACCGCCGGAAGCACCTTGTGCAGGTACACCTCGAGAATTTGAGGATTGAGGTTGACGCTGCAGGGGTGGAGCAGTGCCGGAAAATCGAGCAGCGGCAGCGAGGGCGGCGGCAGCGCTCGCGGGAAGAAGGCGTGCTCGTCCGGCGAAGTGTAGCGCCTCACACGTGCGTGCATCCTCTCCGTCTCGAGCAGCATGGATTCGAGGAATGACTCGGACGGCCCGGCGATGGCGGCAAACGCACGCGCCCCCGGCTGGTAACAGACGTCATTGGCGCGATACTGCGCGCGCTCGATGAGTGCGAATATTATGGTGTCCTCCTGCCGGATGAGCGTCTCGCGGATCGACTGGAGAGAAAGCGGGTGCGAGCCGCTCGTCGGGGGCGGCATGAAGAGGGCTGGGTGTGGGGCAAGCTGCGACAGAGCTCAACCAACCCCACTCGAGCTGTGCGACAAGAAGAAAGCACGTTGATCGCAGATACAGTGGGTTGCGGGCATCAAGAAAACAGGATTCCGCGGCACGCCGCCGTTTCTAAGCCTTTCCACAGCCCTCATCCACCCCGCGCCGTGGTTTCTTAGCTCCGGCCGGCACTCAAGCCAGCAGAGCCGGCGGGCCCGAAGGATTTTTAGGTAAGTAAGAGGTAAGCTGTAAGCTGCCGGTCCGCGAGGGCGATGCCAGAGTCTGCCGCTGAGTCGGCTCTTTGGATGACGGGGGAAGACGCACACACGCCTCCATCCACTCCACTCAGAACACCGCAGACTTGGAAAGTGACAAGTGCGCGCGCCGCAGGCGAAGAGAAATTTTTTACCTGGGGCTCCCGTTCACACACAGTGAATCACACACTCGTTCTGGCCTTTTCTCGGGGCCGCGTCTGCGGCGCGCCGTGGTTTCTTAGATTTTTGCGGAAATCGCTCGGCGTGGTTTCTTAATACTACGTTTTCTTAATGCCCGCAACCCACTGTACGAAGAGGCAGACTCCCCAGGGTAGGCGACGGCTAGCGCATCACACCCCTCTCCTTAAAATCCCTGTGTGGTGGCGGCGTGCCAAAAAAATCGGGGAAAACGCTTCAAATGGGCGTCGGTCGTCACGGCAGCACAGGCAAGTTTGGGCCTAGCGTCGTGCGTGTCCGAGGGGGCATCCAGCTCTGTTGCTGGCTGACAGGGTTTGCGATGAGGAGCGATCCGAGCCGGTGGTATTCGGGTGATCAGATCACTACCGCCTTTTAGCTTACTGGGAGAGAAGGGAGAGGGGTTGTGTTCTCTAGGCCCCTAAGCAATGTACGTACGTAAGAGTTACACCGGCGCTTCCCAGATGGAACCCAGTGTCACCTTGGCCGCGGAGCAGCACCGCGACTGGGAGGCACAGCTCCTGCGATCAGCACGTGCGGCTAATAAGGTTCTTCTGGTCAGGGCCGCCTTTCCTAGCCCCTTGCCTTTGACTTTCCTGATCAACAAAACTGCTGATTTCATCAGCTGCAGGGCGGGGGCTTTGCCTGAGCTTGACGTGGCCTCTCTTGAGGACGGTTCAGTCAGGTAAGTTGGAGTCGTGCCTGAGTGCCACGTCGGCGTACGCGGCGCCCGCCTTCTCAATCACGTGAAAACCTGTTGGTCACTCTTGATGTAGCTTTCGGTTGGACACCGTAAGGGGGAGGTTGCGCAACTTTCATAGAGCCAGTTTTCTTAATATTATGATTGAACAAGCTACAAGGTCGGTCGATGACGCTTGATAGTATTACAGTAAGATCGACCCCTACTAAAAAGAATTTTCGAGAGCTCGCTCTCACAACACTACTCGTAGCCCGGCTTTTCAAACTCTCGCTCGACAAACGCGCCCATTGTCCACGTGTCAATCGCCGGTGCACATGCACATATATGATGTCACACTCCGGCCCTGCCGCGACCTTTGATGCCGTGACCAAGGTCGTTGCGCGCGGCTCGCCGTCGTACACCTCACGGTGTGCGCGACTGCTGGAGCTCACGCCGGCAAGACATGGCGAAGCCGCGCGCATCGAGATCTTTTACGGTGCCACGCTCATTGGCAACCCCGTCCAGCGCGGACTGCACATCGCGCGCTCGCAGCTGCTCTCGATGGCCCATGCTGATCTCATTTGCCCGTCTCGGGGCCGGTGGGCACGGCCTCACTCTTCTCACTCGGCCGTGCTGCCACCACAGCCGTTTCTCTCCCCTGGCGCCGCGACCCAGAAAAGTGCCCCGCCGCCTAAGGCTGCACGGTTGGCAGGTGCGCGAAGCTGAACCTTTTTGTCACCGCGGTGTCCAACTCAAGTATCGGCAAGGTGTGCGCCCGAGCCTCTTGCCCCCATTCCTTCGGCCACTCAGAGGAGCATCTCATCTCCAAGGTGGATGTACCGCCGGGTCAACATCGACTGCCTTCACGCTTGGCGGCCGTCACCGAGCTCGCCGAGCTTGCCTCGAACGGACGTAGATGGAACAGTTAGGGTCCAGGGAGCCCACTCACGTGTTTTCACCTCGCCCCGTGTTGCTTGCGCATCCCATGTTCACAACCGCAACGCTGCGCGTAGGAATCTGACCGGCGGTGCAGCCTCTTTCCATTACCAGCGAGTCAACAAGTGGGAGCAGCCGGCGCTGCACGCCTTGTGGTGAGCGGCAGCAGAGACGAGGGGCATGATCACTGGCCCAACCGAGGTGCTGCGGAAGCACACTCACTGCATTTTGTCATCGCCCCCTAGGTCGAGAGCGAGCAGCATTGCAAAGCGGTCCACGGGGGCAGCTCGCACACGCCGGTCACGACGGACCAGCGAAGTGCCCTTGCCGTCGCAGCGCAAGCGAGTGTGCGCGCTGCAAGGTGGGCCGTGCTCGTACCGTGTCTAGATGCGAGAGGTGGCCGACGACACCTACCACAGATTACTAATGGCCGGCTCTCCAACAGGGGCTGCTGGCCAACAAGCAGTGTTGCTCCAGGCCCCCCGAAACATCTCGATCAAGTTATCTCCCCGCGACGCAGGTGCCACGGCAATGTTACGTTCGCCCAGTCGGTGTGGATGCAGGGGATGCTTGAGTCGATACCGCGCAGAACGGATGGGCACATCGCGTGCACGCCGAGCATGTTTGAGGCCGCTCCGGTCCCATCATCGACGGACGCCGATGCCCCAGCCGCGGTCTGCCTTTGCGACGGCACAGTAACAACCACTGCGGAGTCGCTGCTTTTGTACGCGCACAACAAGGGCGTCACACATGCCAGTGACGTCAGTCGCGCCTCCTCTCTGTTCACGCGTGGCTACGTTTGCCATTTCTGAGATACGAGGGAAGGTCTCTCATCTAGGCGATAACCCATCAGAGCGAGGGATCGCTGAGGGCGTTGCCATGATGAGCCGTCCGTGACTCTAGGTGGGCCTACTAAAGCCACGACTACGCGATGAGTCTGTGTTTGATGGCTACGGCCATCGGACCCTATACGAGCTTGCGGTCTTCCGAAACATCATCGCATCGTGGCGCGATGCCGTGGCCATTCTCGACAGCAGGCCAACGGTGGAACACCTTAGCCTCACGCCTTATAATGGCGTCGCGTGGCAGCCACCGTGGGGCTCTTGCAGCGTCGTCGCCGCCTGGAATCATCTCGACCACTTCCGGACATAGGTGCGGATATGCACACCACACGAGAGACGGTCGTTCGCCTCCAACCCAGTTCGGACTCGAACAGGTACAACATGTGGTGGGCGCGACCTAGCTACATTGCGCGGCACGGCGCGCCCATCTTCCCCCCTCCAGAGGGCGATGTCACCCAGCCAACGCTAACGAAGCAGGCGCCACGCAGTGCCGACCCTTTCGGGCGGTCGCAGCTTCACACTGCTTCCGCGCTGCTAGGCCGCCTTGCTGCTGAATCGCGGGCGGCACTACTACGAGCGGTGGCTCAATGGCAACATGCCCGACACGCGCCGGCGTGCAGAAGGCGCCTTTGGCGTCTTTGACTGTCGGCAGGGCATCGATTGGATGCCCGCGATTGCATCGAACGACGTGCTTGGCACCTTCACGACGCCAGCCGCTGCGTGCCGCGCCTCCTTCAACGAGCTACGGCTTGAATTCGACGAGCGGATCTGATACGCCAACAGACGTGAAAGCAATGAAGGGTGAGCGGGAGGGAGGGTAGCTCGCATGCGAGAAAAGCGGGGTGTTTCTTCTGTGTTCGTGTTGTGTGCGCAAGAGCACGCTCCAACGTGCAACGAAACATTCGGGAACGATTCGACTTTCGGGATGCCGTCCCGGACCCTGCTCCCGCTCGGCGCTCGCCACAGCCCACACCCACAGCCGCGCCAGCCGGCGCAGCCGCGCTCGGAGACGGGAGAGGTCATTTTATCTTTCGTGAGAACGTTCGCGTTTTCGGGCTCCGCCTCCGGGCTCGTCGGTGATACACACCAGCGGTCCGTGGCGGTGCAATGAGATGTGACATGTTTGTGCTCTCCAAAACTGGATAGGGAACTATGGTTATGCATGGATCAAGGTGCTGTGTGGAGAGACGGAGAGACAGAGAGACAGAGAGTCCCTCAAAGCTCAATCCCTCTCGTCCTCTCTTCCTCTCCCTCGGAAGCGATGGTTGCAGACTTGCCCTCGGCCTGGACGTCGCCCTGTTCCCCAGGCTCCACGACGGCGGGGATCTCTTCGCTGATCGCAGCGTTCGCAGAGTCCGCCGCGCGCAAAGGCGTCTTATCGTCTTTCCGGGCCGCAGCCTCGTCTTTGCGAGGCGCAGGCCGCGGGTGCCTCCACTCATAAATGGCCGTGACAAATCCAGCCTCCAGTGCCTCTAGCCGCTGAAACACGCCTGCGAAGAGCGAGCGTGTGCCACCGGTGGCGATTAAGCCGACGCAGACGAGGCCAGCCAGAGTCGCAATCGATAAAACGATGCCCACCTCGAAGCTAACCAGTGTGGACAATGCGGGAGCGGATGGGGGAGGCGCGGGTGGAGGCAGCGGCGGTGACTGAGGCGGGGAGGGTTGTGATGGCTGAGGCGGCAGAGGAGGCGGCGGCGGCGGCGGCGGCGGCGGAGCCGGCAGAGGAGGCGGCAGCGGCGGCAGCGGCGGCGGCGGCGGCGGCGGCGGCGGCGGCGACGGCGGTGGGGACGGAGGCGGAGACGGCGGTGGCGACGGTGGCGGATTCGGCGCAAAGAGAAAGGGGGCCGTTAGCAGAACAAGCGGGAACGCGAGCATTTGTTCGAGAAGAAGGGATCCCCAGGTTTACGACGTGCAGGCGCCATTCAAAAGAATTAATCCCATTCGCAGGCAGTCTGGAAGGCGAGCGGGGAACCGGACCGAGCTGCTGTCGGCGTGCAGTAGCAGACGCCGAAATGGGTGAGAACGGCGTCCTCTGGGTAAGTTCAGCTGTGAACTTCCCTCCGTGCGCCCAACGATATGGGCAA